ATCAATCTGAGAAAAGAATGAAGCATGGTGAGTTCATTGATTTTTAGTTTCTCGATTCTAACGAAAAATCCATCACGGTTAGCCTGAGTGTGATCGGATAAATGAGAGGAAATGAGTTTGGAGTATTAGGTCAAACGTTCGATTCCCTTTTCAAACGTAACCAAAAATAAATAAATATTTTCCAGTGAATGACTATTATGTCCCACACAACAGACCCGTGATCCCGGTCATGTGTGTCGGTAGCCACCTGCTTCCTACCCAATATCTTATGTATCTCATTTACACTGTGCAATGTACGCATGTTTGCTTAAGTTAGGGGTGGGCACCAAACCGGCCGAATTGCATGATTAACCAGTTGATTCAAATCATATTGGGCGGTTTGGTTTGGTTTTGATCGTAAAAAAGTCAACAGCCTGACTATTATAAGTTTGGATTCTTGGAACAGTGCTGATGAACAAAGTTGAATGAGAAGTAGATAGATAGGCTCACAGCTTCAAGCCAGTGCTGCAGAGCTAGTTTCTGAGCCTTTTCGTCCTTGCACAAACCCTTCCCTACCTACAAACATTTTCTGTTAATTTTTATTTCTCCATAAAACACATTTCATCAGTAATCTGATTCATATATATCACCAAAATTTGTACCTTGGCAGCCCTTGTCCTAGCCCGTGACCACCGCGATTCGGCACTTTCGTGTTTCTCAATGTTGTAGAAGGAAACTGAGCTTCGTTTCAGAGCTGCAAAATCCAAAGCCTGCCACCTTCAAAAATTAAACAAACACATGAAAGAAGAAAAAGAAGATTGATTGGAGCACCAAGCAACAAAAGTGTAACAAAAGAAAAAAATACAACACAGTATATTAAGGTATAGTGGTAGTGTTGCGAACCATAGTTCCTCAACCAAAACAGCACAATCTGCAAGGTTTCTTCTAGTCCTGTAACTCTTGTACACTTTCTGGACCTTGGTTGCCGCGGCATCGAGCTCGCTCGGCAGCGGAGTGGAGTCAGTAGACAACGTAACGGGTTCAGGAAGCAAAATAGTAGGTTTCTTTATCTTCAATGTCTCATGATTGCTACCTTTTGAATGATCAGATGCTTCAAGTTTTGATTGTGTAAATTCCCAATAATTGAAGCTTATTGACCTTTCTAACCCTTTTCCCAAGTCTTCTAACTCCCCTTGTTTGGTGCCCATTTGAACCAAAAAACTTGTGGTTAATATTAGTATCTCATTCCAAGCTGATAAGACTAGAGAAATAGAGAGAACCATCAATTTTAATACTCAAAAGTTATTGAACCTGCACAAAAACCCAACTGGAAAAAGCACTTAAATAGAAAGCATGCATATCCAAAATTGGAAGCACAACCCCAATGAAGCATAATGAAAAGGGAAGTGATTTTCGCTCTCTATTTTCTCCCTCCGTTTCTTTTATGAAATGAGCAAATAAAAGAAAATTAACAGACAGAAACAAGGGGAGAGATACAGAAGCAGGAAGCCGAAGTGCGAAAAATGAAATACAGGAAGATACTCAAGACGAAGCTGTTTCTTACATGCAAACCCAAAAACCAAAGGCCGTCCAGAAATCTTACTCTCTGCTTATATATACTAAGCAGAGCCGCTTGCTGCATAACTGTTTTGAAATATCAAAGTTGGTTGTATTTGTAAGGAGGCTTCAAAGAGAAAGATTGTACAAGAACATATATTATAGAAAGGTGGGGTTGCATTTGCATGTGGTTGATAATGTTTCCACTAGTAGACTGTACTATTTTATCAGGATATTTTCACCTTTGGTTTTTAATTCCCAGAATGTTACATTAGTTAAAATAAATATGCTTTATTCTATACACTCGAGTTTAAATATCTCGCATTAGTCTAATAAAAAAAAACTAGTATACTCCTCCTTTCTAGCTATCTCAAGAAAGACAACCGGGCCAAGCCAAAAAACAACGGTGGTAGAAATATTATTTTAAGAAAACAACTTCCATTTACAGGTCTTCGAGTATTCTTTTAAGAAAAAAGACATGTCTTTCATGAAGGGAGCAAATAGAAGATTCAAAACAAAATAAAGAACATGACCTTCCAATCAAGACTAATATTCTCTTTCCTTCTATTCTTATTTCTTTCCCTCCCCTTCTCTCACATTATATTTTTTGTTTTATTGTCTCTATATAAAAATTAATATAAAATATTGACGTTGTTTAATCGTAACCGTTCAAATAGGAAGGAATAAAAGATGTGAGAAATTAGGAGAGAAGAAAATCCTCCTTTCCCAATAAAGATCAAAACTACACAGTAACAATTTCAGATACAACAAAAAACTCAAAGAGACGAAGAATTAAAAATCAATAATTTTGCAGTGCAGTACTGCAAAATCATAATCCCAATCTCAACGTCTTGGAGCGAGACCAAAGAATTAAAACTAAGGCAAATTGGATGAGCACGGTTGTCATTTCTGTGACCACACATGTTTCCGTTAAAGAAAAAGAAAAAGGACTTGGATTTAGCTCATTCTCTGCTGGTTTACATGCCCTGTAGATATGAATATTTTGGCGTTTCTTTGCAGTCAAGCCAACCACCCGCCTTTATAAAAGTTGTTGGTCCTTTATATGGTATGAACAATTCTATTTTTAGTACGAACAATTCGACACCTCGATCAGCAAAGAAGAAATTTTCAGGATATATAAGAGAGACTCTTATTAATTTGTACCAATCATAAGCTAAGGAGATGCCATTGTTATTGTACATTGAATGGATATGAGATTTAGGGGTGTAAGTCAAATGAAATGAAAGAAGTTGATATTTCATTATAAAATTAATTGACAATATAAGAAGTAACTTAACTTAATTATAAGCTCATGTAAGATCCATTCTTCCGTCAATATGAGATTCATTCTCAAAGTCAAAGAATTGGATTGGAATACATTTTTGTAATCTGAAGCAGTGATATCCACAAACTCATTTTTTCTTTTACCACACTAGTTAATTACTGTCATTTAATCTTCTTCAATTTTTTTTAATCTGACGATTAAAAATTAAGAAGGATGTGTGAGAGATAAAAAGAAGTATGTGGTAAGGTTCTAAAAGGCGATAGACTCTAGTCAGACGATAGGGTTGGGGTCTAGCGGCTAGGCGGCTAATCGGGGCTTAGGCAGGGGCCTAGGTAGATTTAAGTAATTTTATTATATGCCATATAAATAAGTCACTTAAACTTAAAGAATACATAATTTTATTGTGATACATAAACTGTAAAATAGAATGACATATAGATTATAAAACATTAGAATATAATGAAAACATAAGGAATAAGCCTATAATATGTGTTCATCTAAGTATTTAACAAGTCTCTTACAATTTATTAAAATAAATAAAATGAAAAAGATGAATGTTATCTATTTTCTGTTTAAGTGAAAGTAACGATCTATGCGGGTGCCTAGGCGGGATTTGGAAGGGTTAGACGTGCACCTAGATGTTTTTTTTTCTTTTAATTTTTAAATATCTAACAATTAATCCGAGTAATGATCACTCGCTTACCCTGTAGACGCAGCCTAAGCAGCACTAGACGGAATATGGGCTACACTAGACGAAATTTTTAGTACAACGGTGTACGGGGTAACGGGGAGCGGCGCCCTGATTCTATTGTGGTCCTGCGGTGCATGAGGAGAGCTTGCCAGAGTCGTGAATAGCTGTCGGTATAGTATAAAGGCCTAGGCCTTTAGCCCCATGAAGTGATTGGCATATGCCACAACAAGTGGATAACTCTCCCGTAATGTATGACTTTCTGCCCTTACTGTATGACTTTATGTCAATTTGTGGCTCGAACCTCAATTTGGTTTAGAGTCGTCTCAATTTTCTAAAGCTTTACAACCTGTCAAACTAATCACATTCTATGTTAGGACAAAACGAACTCTCACATATTTAACATTAGACAATAAGTGGATAATTTTTAAAAAATATTAAGAAGGCTCGTAATCAAATTAAAAGTACGAGATGCACATATAATATTGAATTATTTAGTCCATACGGTGTTCCTACATATTTTTCCCTCAAAAGAATTTCTACTTTATTTAATTATAAATAATTTTATATACTAATTTATGTTAAAAAAATGAGAATTTAAACTTAAAACACATTAATTTTTAAGAAAAGTGACATGCAAGCTTTAAGAAAAGTGTGCAGATTTTCCCTTGTTTTCACGAGGATGGAAAAAGTAGTTCGGGCAGCCTAGGTGAGAACCGACAGTTTGAGCCTGGACTTTGTGAAGGGATTTGACTTGGTGCAATACTTTCCTGGAGCTTGTTCTAGGGTCGCGATTGTAGCCTTGATGGGTAGTCCCTCACACTCTCAATACGTGGGCCAATCCTGCTTGTCCACTTATAAGAGTTCGGAGGTAGGATTTAACTCTCTTTCACCAGTTGAGCTACAACTTTATTCCGTTGAACTGTCGATTTTAGTTTAATTTTTGACGAATGCTAACATTGGATATGTGTAACGGGATTGAATGTAAACTTGAGTTACTTACCTTGACATTGGTTAGGTCTTCTTGGTGATCCTGCAAGAAGCTAGTGAATTATTTGAAATTGTCTTTCGTTGGGAGTTACAATTAGCATCTCGAGTATATAATGTAAAAATTTACTACATCCCTTTCCGAATACGGGGAAAATTCTTCTTCAACCAGTGAGGAGGAATGCCTTTCAAGACTTGGAATGCTTTCCTGTAAATTATCCACCAGTAATGTCTGTGTCTCAACACTTGCCTCGACCAGCTTCTCTGATTGCATGGCCCTCAGCTCCATGTCTACAACAGTATCAGACTCAGCATCTATCTCAACTCTCTCTCTCTCTCTCTCTCTCTTTCTCTCTCTCTCTCTCTCAGAGCATCAGCTCTTGCTCTGAAGATCAACGTATCTTTCTTCCTCAAACCGATGATTTATGAATATCTCCATCAACAAGAGGCTGTAGAACGGCCAATGGGGCAAGTATTTCACTGTGGATAGTCAAAAGCCTTCACTAAAACAAAGAAGCCATGTGCATTTGGAGGTTAAAGAATGATACAGAAATACAAATTTCTTATTAATTCTTGTTTCTGTCTGGATATTCTTGAGGTTACCTATCCTTATTTGCTCAATAACACAACATGTTACACAAGTGATGAATTTGATATATATACTTCTGATTTGATCAACGTCGTCCTTGCTTAATCTACTTGACTTTGTCATCTAATCTTTGTGTCCATGGGTCTCATTTCGTTTCTCGACTAATTTTTTTGCACCCAAGCATACAAGAAAGATGGCAGGCCAAAGGGATACTTTGATGGGATTGTCAGCATGATGAGAGAAACAAACATATTGAACCGCCGAGCAAATACACTGCGAAGTGCTACCAATTAATCCATAAAAGTCCGGAAGAGTTCCAAAAGTCTGGGCGGAACGTGGATAATAAAACCACCACAACTTTCCCCACCGCCGCAACACAACTCCTTCCTTTTTACCCTTGTAAATGAGCTCCCATATGCAAATGAGTAGAACTGCAATAGCCAATGTCATACCAAATAGTGCATATCGAGGCTTACTTGGGGAGGCAGCCTGATCAAAAGCAATCGACAAAATCTCTAGGCAGAGGCCAATGACTAGAAATGTCCACTCTGCTGAAATAGTCTGCAAAACAAATTAGTATTAAATTCTAAAGATATCTAACAAGAAATATACACAAAAACATAAACTCAATGCACTAGAAAAAGGCCTTACTGGTACAAGATATCTGCTGTGCTGACGTTGTCCAAGATTGCTGATGCACTGGCGTTGTAGATCGGTCCTCGGACACTTACTGAGATTTATGTTTTTACCATCACCAATATCCAACCTTCAGTTCCAGGGAGGGCAACAAAGTGAGCGCTAATGTTCGAGAAATAACAGTATCCTGGAAGAAGATTTTTCTCGGCCATACTTACCAGTAGAAGAAAGGTTGCTTGCTGTCGCAATCACACCAGACACCGTAGTAGAACTCTAAATTGTGCCCGTACCGATGGCGTGGATCAATCTGGGAAAAGATCAAGCGATGAAGCATGGTAAGTTCATTGATTTCAGTTTTCCAAAGTAACATCATCCAGTTTGCAATATGGGAATCGTCCAACGAATGTCTATCGAGTAACAACTTAAAATGCATGAACTGCTTATGTATATTTCTTTGTTTGCATTGTATTACAGCTTTCGATTTTGTAGTCTGCATTTCTAGTAAAATGATTCTTGGATAAAAACAACGAAAGTGCGAATCAGAGAACTAAACGGAATTGAATTGGAGGAAAATAGACTCACGGATTCAAGCCAGTGCTGCAGCTCTAGTTTGTCAGCCTACACACAAAAGTTTAATGTAAATTTGAAGTTTTGCATATGTAAAATGCTTCTCAGTACTCTGAATCTTATCACCCAAGTACCTGGCTAGAAGCCCTTGCCCTAGTTCGTGCCCGCAGTGACTCAATAGTTTCGTGTTTCTCAATGTCCAAGGCCTCTGAGCTTCGTTTCCGTGCTCCGAGGTCCAAGGCCTTCAACCTACAAGTACAACCATTGAATAATCATAAAAACATAAAGATCAATCAAACAGCAAAGAACAAAAGTGTAACAAAAATCTAACATAGTATTTTAAGGTACAAAGTTACAAACCATAGTTCCTCAACTACAACAGCGCAATCTGCAAAGTTTCGTCTAGTCCTGTAACTCTTATAAACCTTCTGAATCCTAGTTGCCGCAGCATTGGTACGTCTAGTCCTGTACGTCCTGTAAACTTTCTGAATCTTAGTAGCCGCCGCATTGCGCTCAAGAAACAAAATTGTAGGCTTGTTTATCTGCACTACTTCACCATTTCTACCGATCGAAGAGGTTAAATCAGGACTCTCAAATATTGAATCAGATGCTTCAATTTTCGGTTCTGTGGATACCCAATTTTTGAAGTTTGTTGACCTTTCTATGTAAACTTTATCAGAGCCATTGGAGCTGCTATTAGTTTCTGAATGGTCTCTTCCTTCTTTTCTTTCAAAGCTCGTGGAATTCGCCATAACTGTTTCTGTGATGCCCATTCAATCAAAAAGGTTGTGTCTTCAGTATCTCAATCCATAACTTTTGCAATCATTGAAGCATTTTGGCCTGTGACTCAATAATGATTGAACCTGCTCTTATCAGTCCAGCACCACACATTTCAGTTCATGCTTGCTAGGTATCAAGGCAACACGTAGACGTGAATTAGGACAATTGATCAGTAGACTAAATCCCCGTCTCCTTGCATTCAGGTTCGAATCCTCCTGCCCTTAAGATTAGAGCAATTTAAAATATTCCCTTGTCAAAATAAGGCATCACAGAAACACTTGAATCAACTACAACCCATCAAGCATAATGGACCACATAGCTACAAGAGAATTAGAGATTGAGATAAGGTAACTAAATGGTAATTAATGTTACGATCAAGGTTAAGATCAATCTTACATGCAAATCAATAACCCAAAATACCTTCAGAATCCCCGCTCCATTGACCACTGGCTTCAAGGAAGTTGAAGAGAAATATCGAAGAAATTGGACAAGATTTACCAGTCAAATTATGTCGATTGCATGATTGATAATTATATTGTTTACGCGTTTATAACTTGGTTCACTCGTCTTGAGCTTGACTGATTGACTTTGGGCAGCACGTGGAAAGAATCCAAGAACACTTTAATTCTGCCAAACGCGACATGACGAAACAACTTTTGATAATCAGAATATATAATCTAAACCCTTTGAGAAATTGGTTGTGAGACTGCAAGGTCAACATCCAAACTTTCCATGATAATTTAAGTCCCTTTTTATAGAATATATAATCTACAACCCCAATCAGTGTTTTAAAAACCCGCCTTGAGGTGTGCCTGTGTGACTTCAAAGGCGAGACGAGGTTAACTGCCTTTGCCTAGTGGGAGTAGGTGAAAACTTGCCTAGACGTGGTCGAGGCACGCCAAGGCGACTGAGGCGTGCCTAAGACGTTTGATTAGGCTTTTTTTGTTTGTTTAAAAGTTGTCAGAATCTGGAATTTTTTCAGTTAAAATCTGGAAGTTTTAGTTGCAGAGCACTTTGAAAAGATGATGAAGTCTTGAAGAAGACTGCGTCTTTTGGAGTGTTTTCTTTTGCTGATTTTTCGTTTTCTTTATTATTTTTTTGGTGGATTTTTCGTTTTTTTTCCTTTCTAAACTGACACAATTATTCACTAGTTGTCCAACATATTTCCCAAGTATTCAGCTTATTCTCCAATATATTCTCCCATCATATTCTTTTTTATTAGATTTTCCTCAAAATATTATTTTATAAATTTCAAGAGACTAAAAATAAAACATCTTTGTAATAGGAGTGCAGAGTGAGATTTTTTAGATGTTAATAACATTTCTTTTTTATAAAAGGGAAAATTTTGAAATGTCATATGAACTTGTACACAATTTTCAATTTGTCATATAAACTAAAATTTTAAGCAATTTGTCATACCAACTTTCTAAAATCATTAATTTGTTATCTTACCTTAACTCTGTTAAGTTTTCTATCCAATACAAATCACGCACGACATAGGGATGGGCACGGGTTGGGCCGAGCCCAAATTTGAAGGAATCAAACTGGAACTAGTTCAAAATGAAACAGGTGGGCCGAGTCGAGTTCAGAGATTTCTAAATTCGGAATCAAACCTAACCCGGCCTATTTCAAACAGGCCGATTCGAGCCTGTTCCACGGGTCCAAGTACATTTTTTTTTTGTCAAGCACATGTGGGAGCCATAAGATGACCCTCGTTGAGGTCGTCTTCCACAACGTCTGAAGGCCAACTCTCCATCCTTTGCAATCAAGAGAGAGATGAAGATCTGCGAGCTTTGCCGACTTTCCACTAGGATCTTCTGCAAATCAGACCAAGTGATATCGTGTTGGAACTGCAATACCAAGGTCCACAACTCCAATATCTGGTGGCTCGCCACTTCCGGAGCCTCTCTGCCAGAGGTGCCAATGACCCAGTCTCTTCTTCAACCACACGGTTGAAGATATTATCAAGTTATTAACCACTTTTCTTCAACCAATGGTTCTTTTGGAGAGATTAACTTTCTCTCTTCCCAACTCAAGCTAGCAGATGTGAAAAGACATTAACTCTCTCACTTTCCAACGAAAAATAGCAGATGTCGCTTTTTATACACCAAGCATATGTCTTGGTGATTTCATATAATATTAATATTATAACTTTACAAGTTCAGCTACACTTTTCGATGTGCAAGAGTTGTGCATTGTTCAAGATGGATTTAGAAGAAACAAGTGAGGACTTAGGAAACGGTCCGGGCCGGGGGCCCGTTTCCTCAAAATCTATTACCCGCCTTGCCCCGGTAATTATATGGACCCGCCCTGCCTCGGCCCATTTTATGTTTTGATTTTTTGGACTCGTCCCGTACCCAACTCGAACTGCATAAACCCGCCCCGACCCGCAAGTCCAGGTGACATGCCTCGATCCCTGTGTCCGAATGACAACGAGATGGCCACGTGCTGGCCGACACCCAAGGATGATGCAAGCTATTTAATGAATACATATGCTGAGAACATGTAAAACATGCACATAATTTTCGCACGTAACCACGCGATATAATATCCAAATACAAACCTTAACAAAAAATAATAGTAATAAGGTACAAATCACTGGACCAAAGGAGAATATTCAACTGCCAACAATTTAAAAGTGATAATGCATGACCTGTTCAGAGCATACTACTAATTCGAAGTACAAGCGGAAGGAATATTAGAAAGTGTTATTACAAGAGATGTCCTACGCAAAGAGGATGACACAAATTCACTGATATGTGAATGCCTCGTAGCTTGGGTTGTATGCCTTGTTCTTAGGTCTTGAGGGGGAGCAAAACAAAACATGAGTGGACCAAGTTTATACATATGTAATGCTAAAACAGTTATTCTTCAACATACTAACCCTTAGTTTAGAAAACTCATATCGCATAAGTAGTAATAGGTTTTTCCGAAAACCCTAGCATACCATAAAACCTTTCATAAAACATATATCATATGAAGTGTGCTTAGTAGTGGTATCACAATTGCCTTGAATGCCCTACATTGCCCACCTGAAGGCATATATAAATCTTCCGCCCGTAGGCCCTACATCGCCCGCACGAAGGCATATATAAATATCATTCGCCCGGAGGCCCTACATCGCTGCCCGAAGGCATATATAAATATCTTCCGTCCGAAGGCACATATGTATGAATATCCACTAAGTAAGCACATAAAATTGTGAACATAATCATTCCAAAATATATCTCATCGGAGCTCAATAGCTCAAACATCATATCATAAATCATATTCATAAATATCTTAATAAGCGTAAATTTGATAAAGCATGATATTTCATAAAGTGTAAATCCGATAACTCATAAACTTTCATAAAATGTAGTCATAAAATCATGTTTTTCATGTATGCATTTCTAGTAGTTAAAACAAGCATTTTGGAAATGGTCCACTCACAGATACTCTGTTGCCGAAGAGCTGTTTGAACTAGGTAGGACGGAAATGCCACTAACAAACGCACCTAAGCACATAAAGGGACCAATTAATAAACTCTACTAAAATGATTGAATTTGGGAAAACGGAGCGCGGATTTGGAATCAGGACGTCGTAATTAGTCTAGAAGAAGTCCTCGGCGAAACCTGAAAAAGTTAACGTTGACTGGTCAATGGGTTGGGTCAGCGGTCAGCGGGTTGGGTCATGATCAACGGGTCAGGTCACGATCAACGGGTTAGGTCAACCCGGTCGCCGGAAATGAGGTTTTTGGCCGAAAATTTGGGCAATTTTCAAAGTTTCGTAACTTCTTCGTTTCTTAACCAAATTCAACCCATAATATATCAAAACGAAGCTAGTAAAGTGTAGAATAAGATTGTACCTATTTGGAAGCCCAATGGTTGTTAGAGATGGCCGAAAAATGGCTTGAAAGGTGACTGATCAGCAGAAAAACTGGGGAACTCGTCGGATTTCTGGGTAAACTTTAAACGTTCATATCTTTGTCAATACTCAACGAAATTGAGTGATTCAAAAACGAAAATCATACTTCTCAATGAGATGAAGAGAATGGTACCTTTATCGATGGCTAACTCTCCATGGTTTGCCCGAAAAATGGCCTGAAAGGTTGCGGCCCGACTTGAATTTGAATCCCGACGATCCGGAAGGAAGTTCGAGGTGAGTTTGGGTGCTCTGGGCTAGTGAGGATGAGACGAAGCTCGTGGTGCTCTTGGTTTGGACGGTGGTGGGAGTGTTGTTGTTGTTTGTGTGTTGCCTTCCCGGAGAGAGAAGGTTAGAGAGAGAGAGAGAGAGAGAGAGAGAGAGAGAGAAGAGAAATGAAAGAGAGCTTAGAGGGAGAGGGGGAGATATTTTCAGAAATAATAGAGGGAAGGGGGACTAATGGGTAGGGGGAAGGAAAAGGGGACAAAGATCCAAAGTGGGTCCCACTGGCTCACAAATTAAGGTCACTAAAGACGAAACACGAAATATTCGAAAAACGTTCGACGTTTTGTAACATAAAATCTTCGTTATAACTCCAAATTCAAATCTGTTCGCGCCCATGCGTTCGTGTTGATGAGTACGATAAGAATAAACTAAGAAAATTAGTCAAGCGCATTTTGACGAAGTGGTCAACAAAAGTTAACATTCTTGCCACAAGGGCATTTTGGTAAAATCACACCATTTAATACTACAAAAAAGTTAAATTAAGGATGGGGTATCACACCAGGACCCGTTTACCCACCCCTAGTGCGACATGTGTCTCGCACATGACTTGTGTTTAGGGTATTTGGGTCATTCTAACACTTTACTTCCCTTTTATTAAGTTGTATTCCACAAAAAACTCTAGGTTTTCTAAAGCCACAGAAGGGGCTGCTACTACGCTGTACTTGTTCTCAGAGATTTTGTTCACACTGATCCCTGTGAATACCCACTAAAACAAAATTTAAGTGTTTGTACTAAGGAAAAGCAAAAAAAAACTTGTAAAAAATGCTAAAATGACTGAAATAACCCTGCACATGATTTATATTGGATGAAAAACATAACGGAGTTAGGGTGAGATGACAAATTAATGATTTGGGAAAGTTGATATGACAAATTGCTTAAAATTTTAGTTTATATGACAAATTGAAAATGTATACAAGTTCATATGACATTTCAAAAATTTTCCCTTTATAAAAACATCTTGTAACCTTATATTATTTTTTACTTAAAAATGTGATTGGTCAACAAGAAAAAGTAATTATATACAATATATACTAAAAATCTTAAGTCCTGTGAGGCACCTGACGCCTCGAGGCTTTCGTCTAGATGAGGCTATTCATGAAACGCCTCATTTACGCCTTTGCCTTCTAAAACATCAATCCCAATGATGCAAAAGAGTCATTGTTTTGGTCAGCATTCTTTGATTGGACAAGTAGAAATTTGATTGAATACACACGCGCACACACTCTCAGTCCAGAATTGACAAAAAACAAGCCCGTTATAACTCCGGTGGAATAAATTTGTCCTTCCAGTGTGCTACTGTACCTAACAGTACAACAACAAGGTTTAACCAGAAAATCTAAATGTTACAATCAAAGAAAGTCTCGAGATCCCGGAATGTTTTGCAGATTAAATTATCAGCAAAGATTAATCACGTCAAATCTATGTATAAGGTAAAAGCTGCAACATAAGCTTGTATAATTACAGACCGCTATCATCATTTTGCCGTAAATTTGAAGCAAAACTAATTATACTACAAACTAAAAGTAGCACGCATAAGAATCAACATACAAGCCATCACATAACTGAGACGAATTGGCGTTAAAACTTGAATGCCCATGTTTACTCGTAGAGTCATAGGTTCAACCATCACGAACCTTTTTAATCTGCTCGCTCAATCACAATTAGTCCTTGTCTAATCTCTGCGTCCATTGCTCTCATTTTGATTCTCAGCTAACCTTTTGGCACCCAAGCATACAAGAAATATTGCAGGCCAAAGGGAAACTTTGATGGGATTGTCAGCATGATGAGAGAACCAAACATATTGAATCGTCGAGCAAAAACACTGCACAGTGCTACCAATTAATCCATAAAAATCGGGAAGAGTTCCAAAAAGCTGGGTGGAATGCGGATAATAAAACCACCACAAGTACCTTCCCCACCTCCGCAATACAACTCCTTCCTTTTTACCCTTGTAAACGAGCTCCCAGATGCAAATGAGTAGAGCTGCAATAGCCAATATCATACCAAATAGTGCATATTGGGGCTTACTTGGGGAGGCAGCTTGATCAAAAGAAATCGACAAAATCTCTAGGCAGAGGCCGGTGATTAAAAAGGTCCACTCTCCTGATATAACCTACAAAAGAGAATAGAAATACATCAAGTATAATATAAACTTGATGCACGAAAAAGGCCAGATCTTTGGGCTTGTTCGTGGCGAAGGGACTGGTAGACAACTTACATGGCTGTCTGGTGTGAGCTTTGGTGATTCAATAATGGTTCGGTTGTATAATTGGTGCGGCTGATCCCCGTAGCTAATGAGGTCTGATGATTTGACATTGGTTAGGTCTACTTGGTGGTCCCTCAAGAAGCTAAGGAATTCTTTTCTATCTTCAGACAGGCGATAGTAAGTAGTGTGTGGCCATATAGCCTGTATAACCAAAATGATGTCTAGACATAGCTCAAAAAAATGAACTGAAAAAGGAATTAAAACCAGTGTTTGAGTAAACTAATGCATAATGCATACCTCAAGAACCCCGTTGTGGGCAACTAGTCTTCCAGCTGCTGTTACAGCCCCTCCGGATAGGAAACTTGAGTGCTTAAAAATACCCTTCTTTTTCTTCCCCACGTATAAACTTCTTGATGGGCTGAAAACAAAAATCCACTTTGACCCTTCACTTGTGCTAACAAGCATCCCAGTTTGCTTGTGCACTAGTTTCCCATCCTCCACAATCACTTCAAACGCCTCCCGCTCTTTCTGCAATCGAAAATGAATCTGATTCTTACCCAAGGCAGGCCTCCTTTAACTTGCAATTATGTTTGTGTAGGAAATTTAACATGATCATTGAGGTAATGCGTCCAGTGTCCTTACTGGTCCAAGATATATGATGCACTCCCGTCGTAGAAGATCCCTCGGGCACTGCTTCAGATCTATGTCTTTACCATCACCAACATCCAACCTTCAGTTCGGGTGACGAAATAATAAAGTTAATATAAGAATAAGCTAATGTAACTAAAAACGTATCATGGAAAAAGATTTTCCTCAAGCACACTACACGCACACTTACCAGTAGAAGAAAGGCTCGGTGCTGCTGGTCCCAAACCAGTGGTCGTAGTAGCAGTGCAAATTGCGTCCATACCGATGACGTGGATCAATCTGTTAATAAAATGGAGTAATGAAGTACGGCATGTTCATTAATTTTCAGTTTCTTAAGTAACTCTAACCAGGTTTGCACAATACAAGAACCAAACCGACGAATTTAATAGATGAGCTAAAGAGATTTGAATTAGAAGCACACAGACTCACAGCTTCAAGCCAGTGCTGCCGAGCTAGTTTCTGAGCCCTGTCATCCTTGCTCAAACCCTTCCCTATCTACAAACACAACAAAAGTTTTGCTCTTAAATTGGAATTCTCCGTAAAGCACATCTCAGAAATCTTGTTCATATCAACAAAGTACCTTGGCAGCCCTTGTCCGAGCCCGCTGGCACCGTGACACAGCAGTTTCCTGCTTCTCAATATTTAAGGACTCTGAGCTTTGTTCCGGAGCTGCAACGCCTAAGTCATTGCACCTACCACTGTTGCCCAAATACAATAAAATAACAAACGATTAATTAATTGTGCACCACGGAAAAAATTCCAACTTTTATGGTACAAACCAACCATAGTTCCTCAACCAGATCCACAGAATCCGAAAGGTTACGTCTGATCCGGTGACTCCTATAGACTTACTGAATCTTATTTGCTGCAGCATCGAGCTCACTAATCCGCACTGTTTCGCGATTTCTATCCATCAAAGTGGTTGAGCCTGAATTTTCAAATGAATGATCAAATGCTTCAAAGTTTGGCTCTGCAAAGTCCCAAGTTTATGAAGCTTATCGACCTAGCAATTATTAAACTCATTTTATCAGACCCATCAAGCATAATAATGGACCACATAGCAACATGAACCATTACAGAATGAATAAATCAGCTAGTTAAATGTTAATTACTGTAAATAATAGTTGTACAAGAATCGATTAAGCTCTCTACCTTACATGAACGGAGACACAAACAACTTCAATCAAAATCCGAGGACTAATGCAGACCACTTTGCATCAAAGTTTGAATCTCTCTTCCCGTAGTTTAGATGAATTTAGAGTGGATTATCGCTTGTAAAAAAAAAAAAAAACCCTTCAATTAACTACAACCATCAAGCATAATGATTCATGCGGTCAAGATTAAGCTCAGATCCTACATGCAAAAGTAAAAGTTGGTCGTACTGAGATGCAAGGAAATAGCCTTTGAGATTCACTGACTGACTTTTCCAATCATTAATCAACCTATTTTCTCTTCGTACTGAGATACAAGGAAATAACCTTTGAGCCTCACTGATTGATTTTTGCAATCACTTATTCAACCTATTTTCATTTATGAAAAATGCTAAGGAGACTTTATTAAGTAGGACTCTCTATGATCTCTCTGACATCTCATGTTTTTTGCACAATAAAATTTATAAAGAGTCCCAATTTGAGAGTCCCCTTAGTATTTAATTTCTTTTCATTTAATCGAGATATATACAATCAATTTTAGTTGATGGAAAGTCAACCTTGATGAAGAGAGAGTCGAACACGGGACAAGGGATGGAAAGTTGACCAAGAAGAAGAAGAAGAAATCAAGCATCTAATTAAACGTGTAGAAAAAAATACTCTTAACATACTGAATTACATATAATTTTACACCATAAAGTTTGGTGCCCCTAAAATTCCTCATGTGACATTTCAAGTTTTCAACACATCTATTGTGAAGTTTATTTTTTATTTTAACATCGGTAAAACAAACACAAGGAGACACACAAGTTGAGTGGTGTGGGTTCGTCCCTCTCCCTATCCTGCTAAGTAGGTGTTGTACGATGCTTTTTGTATTGGTAGCCCTCGAGGTTTTGTTCTTTAATTTAGCTTATTTCCTTTGAAAAAAAGGGGTGGGTTTTGTGGCCCAATTCATACCTATCAACCAGATTTAAAAAGATATTCCCAGTTCCTGTCCATCAACCAGAAACAAAAAAAATTAAAAATATAATGAATGGATTCGTAATACTATTTTTTTATATAATTTTTGACATGTTTTTGTAAAACTCATTTTGTAATATATTTCAATGATCCAAATCGTCTATTTTTTAATCTTACTTCAAAAATCATGTCTAGCAAAAATCACCAAAATCTAGAACCATATGACCATTATATTAAGGGTTTAGGATTTCTTTGCAAAAACGTATGTCCATTTTTTTTTACTACAAATGAATGTCTTAATTGTTTTGGATTTATCTAATTTTTTGCAAGGATAATTTATTAATGCTATTCTAAAAGATAAAACGGTTCAGATCGTGAAAATACATTGTAGAGTAGGCTCTACCAAAAGATGTGTCAAAAGTTACATGAAAAAAAATTGTATCACGGATTTATCCCAAAATTAAATAAATAAAAGAGTGAAAGAAAAGCATATGCAGAAACTTAATTTTCAATAACGATGGCACAATCATCTCTTGTTATTAAGAGAGATACAATGTATGTATTAGCATCAAATTCTAACTATTGGGTGGAATTTGTAAGTTAACACATTCTGAATTTCCAGTCATGCAGCAGCAGTTATTGACTGGACTTCCGATGGGGCGGAATGTGGAGCCAAACCTTCATCGTGTCGTATGCAGTGAAACCGATTGCCACAGAAGGAACGATCTGAGAACACAGTAAAAATCTTTCGTTAGCAAGACGATCATGGCCAAAACTCTGTAGACTCGACCTTTAAGAAATGCGTAAAGAAGGAACCTACTCGAAGTATCAGCAGGGCCCCAGAAACACGAGCTTATCCTTGCAAATACAGACACTCAATCGTGTCTGAAATTCAGTCTATTAATTTGACACAGAGAATGAGAAATTACCTTGATATAATTAATGCTTAGGCCTGAAAACAACTTTTTCCATCCTTGGTTTCGGATGATATATTTAAGACCCGCCATTGTGTTTCTGTACCTAACACCGCCATGATCTGAAGACCGCAAATTCTCAACCTGTAATCCAAATTATAATGTCATATAACCTTGACCCCATGCTTTTTATTGCAACAAATTTCAGTTCCAAGTAAACATCTAACATAAAAAGCAGAATACAGCAACACGAACCAACGCTTAACGAAATTATGATAATATTGACAAAGCAATACCTGCATTTGCCTCCTAACGACATCCAAGGGGTATGTCAGAGTTTGCCCAAATAACCCGGCCAAAGCTCCACAGGAAAGACGCATCACAATGGACTTTTCATACTCTTCAGGAACATGGAGTTTAAGTTCCTCATATATATAGAACTTTAAACCAGCATAAGGGAGTATTCCAGTGAGTGTTGGGCCTGATCAAGCAAAAGTGGCTCCAGGTTAACATTAGCTTGACCATATATTGCATAACGTAACGACACTATTAGTAAAAGTCTTAGCAGAACACTCGGCTATGAGATACATACCTACACCTCGATAAAGCCCACGCAAGCCCCCCTCCTTGTAAACACTTGAAAGCACGTCCTTTATGCCCTTATAAGCAACTTGAGCATGTGCGCCTTTCATACCATAATCAAAGTTGCCTCTAGTATTAACAACCTAAACAAATCATAACAATGCGATTAAACAACGAATCAATGAACAATTACAAAAATTGATTTGATATAAAAGGTACCGACAAGATATATGCAAGATACTGACCTGATAAGCAAGTTTGGTGCGAGCAAGGTCCAAGGGGTACGTGCATAAAACGGCTGTCCCTCCAGCTGCTGCACCGGCTAAAAGATCAATATGAGGCCCTGAACCTAAAGCAGAATAATTGTTCAAGATCCAACACCTGTACTGCTCATATGTCATGTAATGTAAGGCTGCATAGGGAATAATTCGAACGACACTAGCTCCATTTCCTCTGAAAAAAAACAGACAAGAAAGTTCAAGAATAATTGTTATGGCGACATGTATAAAGTTTGATAACGAAACTTAAAAATTTACTGTTAACATCCAACTTACTTGTAGAATCCTCGAACACCTTCATGCTGAAATAACTTCTTCAGAGATTGACACACTCCGAGAGAACGGAACTCTGTTCTTGTCTATAAGTACATGAAAACAAATGCAGAAACTGAGCACATAACAACGAGCTGCCTAGCGCAATGAAAATGGCAATAGAAACATATCCGAGCAGAATCATTCACAATGAAAATATTCCTCAAACATTCATTCACTATATACAACTAATTAGCCTAGAAAAATGGAGCTTGTTAAATGCCTCACCTGCAAGAGTATCTTGGTCCTTTCCAGCGGCGCAACCGCAGTCTTCGCGAATCCTCCAGCAGCGCCTCCGGCAATCAACTCCCTAACATAAACCGGCATACTACCAATGTACGAAACCTCTTGGCGGGCTGATTGCGAAGCATCAACCAATTCCGCCACATTTGTTGACAAGGTCGATCTCTGCGTCGAACCCATCTCAAATTTCTCGAAACAAAACGACCACCAAAGCCAAAAATGTCGTAAATTCGACAAGTAATTTATTATCCGCTCTGCAACTTGAAGAACTCCTTATCCCATCTATCTCTCGGAAAACAAAAATTGACGGCCTTTTGCTCAATGGGCAGGTAAAATGGCCTGAGAACACCCAGATTCGAGTCGGGCACACTCAGAAGCCGATCCTCCACCGCACTGATAGCAAGATACATTCAAGGATACCAATCTGACCGAGCAACCACACCACGGAAACACTCAAATTCTCCAATTATTACAGCAATGCTCAAGTAAATCAATCACAAACCCATCAAACACCCATATAAAACCGACCCGAAAACTATCGAAAACTCCTAAAATCAAACACTCACAAAACATGAACGAAATCGAAAATCACACACAACCCATCAAAGGTTTCTCCTCTGGTAACCGACCCAAAATTCCCTCCAATCGAAAGCTGCAGCCTTTGGTTGTAAAAAAGGAATCAGATTTGTGGGTTTTGTTTGAACCGGAAGTGGAGGAAAAGGAATCGAAGAGGAAATTGAAAACCCCACCAGGAATTGGAATTGGATTTGGGTCAGAGAGGAGAACGGGCACCAAAGATTTGGAATTTAGCCAAAACATATGATGTTTTTTTATGGTCAAATGACGTTCCAAATGAATGAATGAAGTGCCCGTTCTCCTCTCGGAAGAAGGAAGGAGACGGAGAGGTTTCCTCGGACTTTCTCTGAATCTTCTTTCGACAGTTACGTACCTCTCTCTCCTCTGTTTCTTTCTCTCTCTTTCTGTCCAACGCGGGTATGGTGGGAGTGCGTGATTGGGTGGAATTGGGTACACTGACTACACTGATCCACAACTAGCGTTTGTCCACGTGGATTTTTAGGTGTACCTTCTGGTGATATCCGTATACAATAGAGTTTTTCTTGTTTGAGGATCAAAAAAGAGAAATGCTAAGGAAACTCTTTCGATATCGTGTCTACTTGTATAATGACTTATATGGAATTGGCTTTTTAACGAAGCCAATTTTTGAGTCGTTTCGTTTCAATAAAATAATGATATGTGTAAGTTTTTTAACATATACTATATTTAGTGGCTGAGTCAGGATTCTATGTGAGACCTTTCATATACGTATCGAATAAAAGGTTGAACTCATAATATGAGAAATTAAAGTAATCTTCAAAAACTTGAAAGACCTATTAAATTTAATAGAAAGAATCAAATAATCATTTCATTAAACTATAAAGATAAAATAACAAAATGTTAGAATCAGAAGACGACGATGTGTGATTTAACTCAATTTCTTCACAATGAACAATTCATCTTCCTCATGTTCCTTAGTGGCTTTGACCCTGATTATATTATTAGATTACAATATTACATGACCCGTTTCATATAAATTGCTCATTTACTTTGAGGATTTTATGGGAGATGCAGATTGAGGCTTGAGCTGTTTTGCACGTCCACAGGTGTTTACATGTTTGCTGCTGAGGCAACATGATTATTGAGACTTGGCATGATACAAACATCAAACATCTCAATCCCACTATGCGGGATCAAATCTAATAGAAAATTAGATGACACCATTGCTTTTAATTTCAAACCTTCAATAAGACTTTTAGTTAACTTTTGAGATCAATTCTAAATCTTACTTCTTAATTCATTGTTAACAGGGGTTGGGAAATTCAACTATGTAAGTTCATATTCGTACCATCTATCTAAAATCTTAACATGGTATCAGGTTGACTAATCATATGTTGTTTTAAATCATGTTCAAATCTTATTGAAACCCTAATTTTATATTCAATTTAGAAATTCTCAAATATCTTAGAAATAGTATTAAGATAATAATTATGATTATCCAGTCATGTTCACAATTAATCCATCAGAAGACCAACAAGCTTTCATCTGTTTAGCAGCACCAAAAAGAAGAAGTTTCTCATTCTCTTCATCATCACAAAAAAAAAAAAAAAAAAAACTCAGCCGCATAGCAAATTGAAAACGAAACAAACCAATGAAACTATACACTCCAAGATAAACAAATAATTAAGATACAAAATCTACATGTGACCTTAATTATCGTCATGATTATTTTCTTGATCACTTTCTTGATTTTTGTTTTCTTGTTTGTGCTCTGTCTCTTGATTAATTTTGTTTTCTAATTCTACTCTCTTCATATTTTGGTCCAGTAATGCGTTCGGATCAATGAAGGAGGATTGCCGACTTCTCGGGTGATAAGCCGGAATCCTCCTCCCCTTGGCATCATAAATCACAGCTTCATCCTCATCAGGCACTTTACATTTCTCACCTAGTATGATCGTCTTCATCCAGACTGAGTCTTCCGGCTTCAACTTTCCGTTCTTTCGCTTGTTGTACTCTTCCTTAACCTTGTCTTTTCGTGCCATCGACAGGCTTCGCGGCAATTTAAGGCTCAAATTCGACAGTAGCCTTCGCTCGGAAGCGGACTTTTTCATCTGAGTTTTCGTGTCAAGGTTGCCGGAATAAAGCTGTCCCGAGTTCTTCATCCTTGGAGGCAAGGGCAGCTCTTTACTCATTCTCGAATCATCATTTCCTCCATCTGTTTCCGTGTCTTGTTGAGATGTTTTGTTCCCTGTTTCCCCCAATGCTGCTTCCGATGTTTGCGCCTTGCCAACATCGGATTCCTCTGCTTCCTTGTGAGCAGGGGACTCAGAAGAGGACGAAGAAGATTTTCTCCGAAAACTACAAAGAGACGTGATTATGGCAATGGTGGCGGCCATGGCAGCGGCAAAGAAGGACAAAGATAGCAACGGATGGATTAGCAGATTCGTCTCATCCGTGGGAATTATTCTTCCCATGAGGAGGACTCACATCAAAAACACTATTGGGAAACAGGATTGCAAATTTGCAAGATGTTAACTTGTTTCCATGGTTTTCTGTGGTTTTTCTTCTTCTTTTAGGCCCCTTTTGGCTTGAACTCGAAAGGGGTTCCCTTTTTTCCCCACAACGTTATTTGGTTTTGATGTTTCTTTCCTAAGAAAACAACAATGGAGTTTTCGAAGGAAGTCGTTCGAAGGATGCGAAACAAAATGCTTGAGTTTAGGAAATTGAGAGGAAAGGTTGGTTAAGGTTTAATCCTAAAAATATCATAGAGAGAGACAACTTGGGATAGAGTCAACTAATTAATGTTCATAAGATGTAATTATCCTCAAGTCCTAGCTACACAAACATCACGAAGGGACTTTTTAGGGGGGAGGACGGGAAATGTTCGCTCCCGTGTTCGGAAATGCTGAGATTATACTTTTCAAACAGCCATAAGTCCAATGTAATTGTAGAAAATACAAAATTACACATTTTCATCTTCCTCACAATCCGTTCAAATTTAAACAACATAAATAAAAATTATGATTTTATTCTGTTTTTACGTTCCGGTCGCCACCTGAGTTAATCCTATAGAGAGAAGGCCGAACCCATTTTAATATGGCTCAAAGCACGAAATCCAAGGACGGTAGCCAATCGACTTAAATAAATTGATTGTGCTGCTTTTGACTCGTAATTCATGTCCGTTGTCCACATACATTCATCCATGACAAAGCAAAAGACAAATCGGAAATGGTGCATCCGTGCCACTATTATTGCATGAGTATGGACGGTGAGACGGAACTTACGTGTGCAATTTTGTTTTTGCGATTGTAATGAATTATTTTTTTATATGCGAAATTTTTATTTTCAGATACGTAAAGATTATTGTTTAAACGAGACAAGTCAACCATTATTTTTGGAAAATTATAATTTTTTTGTATATATGATATTTAAATGATAAATAAAATAAAAGATTCTAATTATGATGTTTGGATAATAAAAATTTAAATGAAAGAACAAGTTCATTCATTGTTATGATTACATTTTATTTCACGTCGCACAAAGTTATTGGTATGCAACAAACACAAAACACATTGTCAAAATCGATCTCCATTAAAAAAAGGATTTAATTCAATAAACAATCATTGAGTTTGGGAAAAAAATAAACAATCATTGTTCAACCAAAAAGGCCACCAATAGTGGGAGTATTAATATTAATTAACAATGAGTCTGGACTAATCGCCTTCCCAAATCTTTACCAATATTAATTCTAATTATTTTATTTGATTTGACAGACAAAAACAAAGATTTTATTTCTTTTTTTTATTTTAAATTCAACTCTTCTACACTAAACTACTCACAAAAGTGACGTAGATGATTTGAATTCGAGACTTAAAAAAAAAAAAAAAAAATACCCCTCTATCTACTATGATAATTTTCTACTTACGAGATTATTTCATTTTTGTTAAATTTTTTAATTAAGCCACAAATATGAAAGCAATTTAAGCAGGATGACTTTACTGTCAATTAACGTTTAGGTTTGTTAAGATAATAACATGAGTTGAGGACGACTAGTGCTGCATTAGAGATCAAGCATCGTTTTAGCCCTCCTCACCCGAATTCGAGGCACCTCAACTCTCTTTTCTCCATGTAATTATTTTATTATTATCAATTGTTACTTGATAATAATAAATTCATTCCATGTAAATAATTCTCAAAAAAAAAAAAAAAAACAGTCGGATTAGAAAGGAAATGGAGCATGTGGGTCTCCTCTTCCTTGCTACACTCACCGGACATATAAAAGCCATCAAGCTCTAGAATTTGATTGATTTTATACCAATTTTAGGGTCAACCCATTTGTCCTTTGAAAGAGCCCATCTCGTATGCTCTTTCTCTCGTCCTCCATCGATTCTGCATAAAATTCTGTGCTTTTGCCGTTAAAATAACATATAATCTACATAAAACTTACCCATTTGTCTTGGTTTTTCTTGGGTTCAGTTCTTTTTTTCACAAGTGATGCTGAATTGACCACAAAAAGTATAAAAAAGTTGCAGACTTTGTGAATGGAAGAGAGCAAACGCAGCAAGTTCAGGAGGATTTGTGTGTTCTGTGGAAGCAACCCTGGCCGCAGGAAAGTGTTCAGTGACGCTACTCTGGAGTTGGGCAATGAACTGGTATGACTGCTTTTGTTCTATTTTTACACTCTCTTTGCTTATCTTTATTTGATCGTGTTTATTGTTGTTTGAGTGCTGGTTTTTTGGTTTAAAGATGTAATATTTGATGAGTTTGAATCCACCTTGAGTTGTATTTTGATGGGTTTTTGTGTTTTATTTATGGTAATGGGATTGTTTTGGGTTCTTGTATTTTAGAGTTGTCAAATGGCTACGTAACGTCTCCAAACGGAGAAAAACTTACCCATCATGTGTTGTTCGATACCCCTTTCTCTCTATATCTCTCTTCTGATGGGGAAGAGAGAGGATGGGTTGGGGTATTGGGGTATGTTTCGTGGAAGTTTTTTCTCCTCGAACCAGGTTTGCTCTGTTTGCTAATAGGCCATTCACCACTGGGACTACTCTTGTTCTGTGATTTCTGGTCAGGAATATTAAGCACTTTTGCACAGTGTATATCCTTATGCAGATACATTGAATAAGGAATTTATACGCTTTTGTTTACAATGCTTTATTTTCCCCTAAAGGATGATCTGGGAATTACTTGTTTACTTTGTTGGTGGATATTGCAGGTGAAAAGGAAGATAGATTTGGTGTATGGCGGGGGAAGTGTCGGGTTGATGGGTTTGATATCGCAGACGGTGTATGATGGAGGTTGCCATGTTCTTGGGTATATATAAACGAAACTTTTTCTTTGAATTTTAGTATGATTTGGTCTTTTACATCATAATATCAATGCATACAATGCCTTTGTTGA